TTTTTTTAAAAAAAAAAGCACAATTTCTTGTTATATGTCACTCCCACGTAAAGCTTTGATCGCAATCAGTAGTTATAATGAGCCATTTTACCCTGATGGCAAAAGAACGGGTCTCTTCTATACCGAAGCACTTCATCCTTATCAAGCTTTGGTCAAGGCTGGTTTTGAAGTAGATCTTGCAACAGAGACTGGCACATTTGGCATGGATGAACACTCTACAAGCAAAGATTTTCTTACGGATGAAGATGAAAGAGTCCTGAATGACCCTGAGCATCCCTTTAATGTTTTGCTAAACAAGCATCTATACAAAGCATCTAATCTCGACCCTAAACAGTATGGCCTCATTTTTGCTTCTGCTGGTCACGCTACCTTGTACGATTATCCTCATGCTCGCGGCCTTCAGAGCATTGCTGAAGATATCTATGAACGAGGCGGTGTAGTTGCTGCCGTCTGTCATGGCCCCGCCCTCCTGCCAGGTGTTAAGGACAAAAGGACGGGCAAGTCTATTATTGAAGGCAAAACTGTTACAGGGTTTACTGACAAGGGCGAGATCGATATGAACATCATGGACAAGATCAAGGGAGACAAGGTAGCAACGGTTGAAGAAAGTACGACAGCTGCTGGAGCTCAGTATGTTGCACCGTCCACGCCATTTGCAGATTTTCACAAGGTGGATGGTCGCGTAGTTACAGGCGCAAACCCTGCTTCGGCACATTCTACTGCCGAAGCAGCTATCAAAGTGTTTGGATAAAGCGAATCATAGGCAATTTCTCCTCTTTCCCCCTCCTCTCCCTCTTGTAACACTTATTTTCGCCCCCTTTTATTTTTATCCACGTCAATAATAAAAAATCGTGAACAAATGCCATAAATTACAAATAAATATGCATAAAATAAGCTTTCCTATTTTGCTTTTTATGGAGGAATAATAGAACTTATTTGAATCTAAGACATGTAGACTGTCAATAGCTGTAACATCATCCTAAATTCTCCTAATTGACCTGAAGCTCCCCTTTTTGCCGAGGACAAAAGGTATACTCGATGGTTAATTAAAGATAGGAGGGAAAAAAAAAAAAAAAAGGCTGTGAGAGGAAATCAAAAAATACTATCATTCAGCCACATACACATATACAGAAAAAGTGTAATAACCTCAGGGGGAGCTTAATGGCACCGCTTTCTTGATTTACGTCAGACAAGATGAAAAGGAAAAACAAATACAGGCTTTTTAAAGTGACGAATAGAGACACTCCCTTTCTAATAGAAAAAGTCAACTAATATACCCACACAATGCTTTGTTACTGCCACGTTTGTGCAAAATAGGTCAACGTGTATTTTCCGTAGCCATCTTTTGTTACTGCAACCATGACTACGAGAATGTATCCTCATGGTATCACTATTGTGTTTATTGCTATAGTTTCTGGTCTTTATCAATTGCAAATAGTTCAGCCATTGTTGGCCGGTGTAATCACCTGTCAATTGACTTGCATATCTCCTTGAAAACCCCATTTTAAAAGCTCCTTTTTACAAAAAAGATAAATTACTGTATCGATCGTATATTAAGTGCCCTTACGTTTGACTATCTTCTTTTTATTCTTTTATTCTTTTATTCTTTTATTCTTTTTTTCTATATTTCTATCTGCGAATAATATCAATTAATAATTAACACTTCTTATTTATCCAATGGCTCCTTACCCTCAGCCTTTAGCATATACATCAATGATAAAGTTCACTATTGACGGCCGTCCTAGTGTAGATGTATGTATACTATCGTCAATTACTGCCTTACTGAATCTTTCTCTATAGGATATTCATGAGCTTTTCTCGACAATGATGGCCCAAATTACACCAACAGTCAATCGACACATGCTTCGGTCTTACCCAAACACCTTTACATCGGAAGAAGCTATCAAGCAATTGGGTTCTCTGACATTTTCAAAACCTTCTAGTTACTCTAATTTTGCTTCATTCACCACAATCACGTTTAACATGGGAAGAGACATGGCCAAGGCTCTACTTCAGCAATTTCTCTGGACTCGGTTAATTGAAAGCGCTATTGAGCCTCAGAACCGCTCTTACCGTGATAAAGGCCTCTGGAGGGTCAAATCAAAAGGTTTATGTGTACTTCAAGATTTTTGCTCAAGGACAAAATCAGACATGTCTATATTTAAAAAACATGTCATGGCCGATGCAGAACCGTTGTTCCTTATCAGTATTGAAAGACTGCCACACAATGATCGCATTAATCGCAATCGAAGATACATGTCTTTTCTGTTTGCAATTATGATAGCTAGCCTGCCACTTAAAGGTAACAACCGTGAAAGGCAAGGTGAACTTCCGTCTTTCTTGGGAAGTTATGGAAAGCTAAATTCATATACCGAAGCTATGCGCGAGTTTGGCATACAGGATACACTAGAAGCTTCGAGAACCCCCTCAATTTGCTCAAGTAACTCCTCATCGCTCGAAAGCAAGCATTCCGGATGCGGGTTGTCCTTTTCTGATTTTTTCCCCCACATCAATATTCTTCCAAATGATTTACTTTTAGGTTTAGAACATGCTCATGGTATACACTCTCAGCAACATCAGTCACTCATCAATAACTTGAGCCCGTCATCATCCAACAAGTTCAAAATGCGAGCCATTTTCTCCTCTGCGTTATGCTGTAACTGGTTAGTCGAATCTTGTACGATAGCATCCAATGACGAAGCTGAAAATCTCATGACAGAATTCTTAAAGCTCGGGTGGATCACGTTTTTTGATAACAAGTATGGTCACCTTCAAGAGATTGAATCTTCAAAATCCATCATTTTGAAGCTTACAAAATCAGGAATGAAAGCTGTCATTGAGGTATCCTTAAACCAGTACAATATCATGAAAGCTTCTATGAAAGCCCCGGGTCTTTCTTGTCGATCATCATCCATCTCCTCTTCTTGTGACACAAGCTTACCTTCTAGCTTGGCGTTTACTGATGATCAGGAGACTAGCATCAGTCCAGTATCTCCTCGTTTAAACACATCCGTGACGGACTACTTCTCGACGCAGTCTTTCAGAAAGTCCTTGCCAGAAATATCAACACCTCCTCTAACGCCAACTACGCCTACATTTGAACCAAAAGAGAGTACCTCAGCCAAACTCAGGTCTGTTTTAAACGATCCTCACCTCAGATCACTCTTCCGCGACTTTTTGGGACACAATTTCTGTGAAGAAAACCTGAATTTTTGGATCGACTATGACAGCTTATGTCGACGCTGTAGTAATCCTGCTCTGATGTCGTCGTCAGATCAGCGCCAGCTTTTGGAGGACGCATACTTACTATGGGAAACATATTTAGGACCAGATGCAAGCTGTGAACTGAACATTGAGCACAACTTAAGGGAGGAAATGGCAGAAGAAATTTCACACATGGTCACTGTTGTCCATACTCCGGGAAAACTCAATCCAACGGTTGTTATTTCAGCTTTTTCGGCGTATCAAAGCTTACTAACTATCCTCAGATGGTTTGATAAAGTTAACGATCATGTATTCAAGCTGATGGCCACGGATTCGATACCAAAATTCATAAAATCATCACAGTATAAACTATATATTCCAGATAACCAAGCAGCGCCTGTTTCAGTTGAACTGAATGAGTTTCCACCACCTCCTTCAAGACAAGACACCAAACAAAATAGTGTAGAAATCCCATGTTTCTCGCTATAATTATAATCAACACTTACTTTTTTACACATTATAATTTTACACTGTATGATATTAATAAACAATACTTCACACTGCCAACTTTTTAAAATGTTACTCCTTTCAAATATTCCCCCTTTTTTTCTTTTATTGCTAATATGCGGAAATATTTGGGGTCGGACAACATAAGCTTGTTCTATCTTCAAATAACAAATAAATCGTAAAAGGTAATCAGTGTTCAAATGTAGGGACATTCTCAAATCAGAAGCCACCTTGCACAATTGCCCATTTTCTAGTGTATTTGAATACCTTCTTTTTTCCCTTGCATTATAAAGTTCCATGTTGTGTAAAAATGAATAATGCATGCCACAAAAACACGAGAAAATGGTTAAATGCAGTAAAATTAAAAAAAGAACAAAAGCTGCACTGACAATGGTATATTAAATCATGAATATTAGCTTTCTTTTTCTTTTCTTTTTTTGTCTTTGTCAAAGCTACACATCAATTTAATAAATTCTTTGTAAATCTATGGCTTTTTGTTCATTAGTAACTTTAAAATAGTTGAAAAAAATCATACGATTATGCAACAGGGGATTCAGTGAACCCTATTCAAAAAATCAATTCTATAGTGAAAGATTCACAAAAATGGAAGTCGTATTAGGAGCTTTTGCGCTCAATAACTAATTTCCCCATATTCTCCGAATTAGCCCCTCCTCCTAGACTTGAAGTTGGGTAACTAGTTAAGGGATGGAGTCAACTGCTGTTCCCTATAAGCTATCCATACAAATAACTAATCAAGCTGCTATCACCATTTGGATAAATCTCTAAAGAAAAGTAGTGAGCTCTATGCTTCGTAATTTAAAACTTCAATTAATTCTGTAAACCTCCACTGCTATCCAAGTGCAATACGGTCGGCTTTGTCGTACATTGGGCTAATAACATGAGGGGCAGGTTCAGGTACCATAAGCTGGTGATGATAATATCGGAGACTGGACTAGTGTGCAGCGTAACAGCATTTTTCCTCAAATCTCCAAACAGTTGCCATTCACTCGATATTTGACTATTTCTTCTGTGTTCAACACCATCAACATCACCAAACCAGTCTCTAACTCTGGAACAACAATAGAAGTAAAGAAGTATATCCAAAATCACGTGATTTAAGAAGTAACCAAGGCGAAATGCAGTACTCGTCAGTGTAAATGGATCAGAGAAATCTATACGCGATTAAAGACGACTTGAAACGCAACTTTTCTGTCATAATTGGATGCTACAACCTGTAAAATACGCTCTTCACTGGATTTAAACGTCTCTATTTTTTTAAAATGTTTAAAGCTTCAAGGTGGAGTTTCCAAAGCTATTGTGACTATATTCGGATTGTTGGCCAAAGCTAAAAGAAGCCTTTTTTATCGGACTGCACTCATTTGCTTGCTGTAGAATGCTTTTCTAACGTACCCAATGTATTAATTGAAAATGCTGTAAAGCGCTATAGTCTTAAAGAAGGCTATCAGAGCAATGAACTCTTTTTTTTTTTTTTGCTATCACAGAAAAAATAGCAACTGTTCTCAAGGTTGTGCCGTGGTAAAGTTTGATAATGATTTCTTTCACCATATGCATACTAGCTTTATGCTGTATATTTATAACACATGTATAGGATTTGCTGTTTTAATAATGAGCAATTAATTACAGCCAATGTGACAATGTTAAGTCATCGAATGGCTTGACCTTTAACGCGGAGGAGCTTGGACTCCAAAGGGTGAAACGCCAATTGTGAAAGTTGAGAACACCAGGGCTATCTTTCATAGCATTTTGCTGACAATCTCAGTTTGTATGGTTGTAAACGTTAGTGTTAGAGTCTCAAGTGTACCTAGCACACCCAACTTATTCCTGTGAGGGTTGGTAAAAAGAGAATACTTGATAAAAGAAGGACTCAGCAGTCAAAGCCAAAGGAACTACGGCAAACCACTGTCTGCGCTTCTTGAAAGAGACTCTTGATATTACGGATAAATTCGAGCGCATGTATGACTCGTATCTTGTTATGGATAACACCCTCATACATAAACGAGCCAATATTCAAGAAATGGTTGAAAAGCGGTGTTACAAGTGTATATACCTACCACCTTATTCTCCCGAATTGAATCCATAGAATAATTCTGACCAGCTGCTAAGAGTAAGCTCAAGAGATATGAAGTTCTCGAAGAGGATTGTTTGAATAAAAAAGCCATAAAAGCTTATAGCATGAACTACACCGCTCAAAAGGTAGAACTGCATAGAAAAAGTTAAGCGACAAAGTGGGAAAAAAAAGTGCGTCAGGTGTTTAATAGAAGACAACAAGCAAGATTTCAAAATGTATGCCAAAGTTTATGTAAGGAAAGGAAATGTGATTCATGCACTTCTTGCTTAGACGACTATACCTTAGCTCTATTTATATGATGCTGAGGTTCATAGTCTAAACAACAACGTTTTGTCAACCATATATTGAAGGACTTTGTTCGTTTGATTACATATTACAAAATCGATAAGCTTCTTAATATGTTTATTAAAGAGATTTATTAAAACGCGCATTCACGAAATATCCATGCGTCTTTATCGTTTTGGCAGTCAGCAACTATGTACGCTTTGAATGCTTGGTAGACGATTTTACTCATGTCCCAACAAGAAAGAACAACACTAGGATATCTCTCTTAATACACCGTAAAAATAAATTGTGCTCATCAAAAGTATATTGATGAAACTTTTTTTTTTTAAAAAAAAAGACTGGATTGGCACAAAAGTCGGATCATGTAAAGCAACTGACAGGGGGCTTTAACTAAGAACAGGCCAATTACACTCATTCAATCTGTGTTTCAAGCCGACATGATTCAAATGAGTCTTACCAAGAAAAAACGCTCTGAGTTTAATTTAGAGCAGAATGATTTCCATATCGAGTAGTCAGAGAGTACTCAGTCATTGGTTGGAAAGGCTAATTCAGATCTGAAAGATTTTTTATACGAGTATTTCTATTTTTTGTTGCTTTTCTTTTTTTCGGATGATATCCATTAAACATGGAAAAGTACAATGCAGAACTCCCGCCCCATGATTTAATGGATAACTTGAATGGAGAATCAACTAGTTTAGCTACATCACACAAATTTTTCTCAAAGCATACCCTTTTGAACTACTTTCCAAAGTACAAGTTAAAGAAATCAGGTAAAAGATGAGAAGAATGGTAGTGAAAAGAGGGGAGAATCTAATTTGTATTGTTTTTTAGGTGTCATTTATATTGATGAAAGACCTCCTGTTATTCAATGCTTCTTTATGGGCATCCAACATGTACTCGCCATGTTTGGCTCGACTGTCATTGGTAAATAACAAAGTGTGTATGTTATGGATCAGAGACTGACTTTATTAAAAAGCGCCCCTTATGATGGGTTTAGATACAAATAGTAAGAATGATTGTTTCAATATGTTGTTTGCTCATCATGCTTGTTTTTAGCTGCACTCTTCTTTTCCGGCATCGGAACCATTATCTTTTATGTTATCACAGGAGGAAGAGGTAAGCATTGCAAAGTTTTATTAAAAAAAAAGAGCAGCGGATGTAACCCTGTACGTTACTCTTAGTTCCTTCTTATGTCGGTTCTTCATTTGGCTTTATCGGTGTTGTCATCTCTGCCACAGGTTACAATTATTCACCGACCTCAGGACCAAATGATCGTACAGACGTCGCTGCAGGAGGAATCCTTATCTGTGGTCTTGTTTACGGCGCGATTGGTCTTATTGTATTATTGGTTGGATATGATTGGATTGAAGTGATCATGCCACCAGGTAATAAGGTTTACAATCATGTAGAAAAGACACTTATTTTTTTTTTTTTTTTGCAGTTGTGACAGGTTCAGTTGTAATGACGATCGGTATTCACTTGTCTACCTCTGCTTTCCAAAACGCTACACAGACTTCATTTGATGGCTGGATGGCTTTTACGACTATTATGCTTATATCGCTCATCAGCATTTACGCGCCCGGTATGCTCAAGCGTATTCCTATTCTGATAGGTATGGTAATTGCCTATCTTATCAATTTTGGTGTAGGCTGGTCAGGTGCAGGTCCTGCAATTGATTACACACAGGTGTATGAGGCCTCTTGGTTTGCCGCTCCCAAGTTTGTGAAACCCAAATTTGAGGGACAAGCCATCAGTATTATTGTTCCTGTCTGTGTCGTCTTGCTCGCTGAGAACTTGGGCCATTTGAAGGCAGTAGGTGCCATGGCCGAGAAACCCTTGGACAAGTACTTGGGTCGTGCCATTCTGGGAGATGCCATAGCAACGGTTGTATCCGCTGCTGGTGGTGGACCCGGTACTACGACGTATTCTGAAAATATTGGTGTCATGGTAACTACGATTGTCCCCCTTCTAGCAACCCTTGCTCATTTAGAAAAATATAGGCTGTTACACAAATCTTCTCCACCTTGATCTTTTTAATTGCCGCTGTCATCGCTATCCTCTTGGGATTCATCCAAAAGTTTGGTGCAGGTAAAAAAAAGGCAATGTATATGTATATTTTCTCATTGGCTAAACTTATGTTTTCAATTTGTAGCAATTCACACTATACCTGAAGGTGTCTTTGGTGGGTTATCTATTATTCTCTTTGGATTGATTACCGTATCTGGTGCAAGAATTTGGGTAGAAAATGAAGTAGACTTTAAGGATTCAAGGAATATGTTGGTTGCTGGTATTCCAGTTGTAATAGGTGCAGCCATGCAAACAACATTACAATGGGGTAACTTTCAGCTAGATGGCATTGGCCTGCCTACGTATACTGCTATTCTTTTATACCAAATTCTTCGTGGATGGGGTAATTTGAAAAATATTCTGAAACGATCAAAGAGCATGTTCAAAAAGAAAAAAGAATTATCTGTTTAAGGGGCCCTTTTTATTCACAATACTGCAGCTTATATACATATTTTTTCTCTCTCTTTCTCTCATATATAATAATAGTAATAGTAAAAATTGTTAATTACATAAAATAAATGTTTTCTAGTATACGATAGTGTCATCTTCGTGTTCACTCGTTTGCTCGTATTCAGTAGTGTCAACAACTGGCGAGTGACGTTTAGCATGAGGAGCATAATGAAGATGAATGTTTGGCTGGCTTGAGTACTTGACAAAGGAATGGGAGGATAGGAATGAAGGTTGATTATTTTGTTGAAATTGTTTATTACTAGACTTGGCTGCTGTCAGAACAGCAGCGGCAGCGGCAGTAGTAGCAGCGGTTGTGTAACAATGGTGAGGAAATGGTTCCTGGTGTGGCTGTAGCATAGTGGCTTGATCATATAATTTTTGCTTATGGCTGATTTCGTATGTGGTATTGTTTGTAGTGCCCGTTAAGGAAGTCGATATGGCATTGATTGCAATAGGAGATGAAGGATTGGACGTTTGCATATTGGCAACAGGCGAAGTTGAACGGATGGATGGAGGAAGGTTTTTGTTTTGTTCTAACGTGAGTGTTGATGTGGTTGGATACTGTTCTATAGACTTTACATAGTCTCCAAAAAACCAAGTTGTTGGATTCATCATTTGCTGTTCATGTTGCTGAGAAAAGTCACTTATGGATTCGTAAGTATCCGTTCTAAGATTTCTATTGTTTTTGTATGCTGAGTTAATGGCTGTATGGCTACTAGTTTGAGCTTGAGAACAAAAGTCGGTAAAGTTGTCAGAAACAAGAGACGAGTTGATGCCAAGTTGAGCAGCTAATGTTTCTACATTGTGTTCAAGTTGATCAATATTGTGAGAAATAGCTTTTGCAGATCGTGCATGGTAAAACATTTGCTCATCCATCCCAAAAAGGTTAGATTCATTGGCAACGTTGTGGTAATGGTCAGGAGAAGGTGCTAACACAGACTTGCCTAATTCATAAACGCGTCAGCTAAACCTTTTTCTATCATTTGGTTAGTTTACCTTTTCCCTCGTCCTTTTTTATGAAAAATGAGTTCCCATCGATCTCTTTTTCCTCTGTAAGATATGATTTTTGTTGCTGATATTGTTCTAGACTCTGAGATGCACAAAAGGCTAGTTGTTCATTTGAAAAGACGATGGTTAAAAATTGTAGTATTTTCACAATAGCTTCTTGATGTTTTTGATGTTTCTCTCTTGAACTAAGAGCTTCTTGCCAGATTATTTCGTTATCTTTACGTAGATTGCTCAAGTCGGCCGTAATGTTGTTTTGATGTTTCTTAATAGCAATGATTTTCTTTAATAGACCATTCAAATTAATTTGTTCGGAGTCTGTCTCGTCACGATCACGATTCCTTTTGCGCGTCACTAGAACCAACAGATCGGGTCGACTACGTTGAAAGTGAGAGTTGCTAAATTCCCAAATTTCATTATCAGAATTATCTCGATTGGCGAGAACACCTTGTTTGACGTGAGGTATTTTGTGGAAATCGTACATGTTTAGCTGGCGAACAAACGAAGCGAAAGTATTGTGCTTGTAGAATCGAGGTAGTACGGTTCTAGCAAATTCCTCATGTCCTTCAACTACCACAATGGGTTAGTTACACCATCGTATACGAATCAGGTTCATACCTAAAAAGGAAGTACCCTCAGCTGACCAACGAATGAGATGGTCTGTAGAAGGATCGTTTACCATACTAGTATAAATGGAATGTTAGTATCTGTACTCCTATCCCCCAACTTTACCCCTCTCCCCCCAGAGGGGAATCAATTAGATATCTCTCTTTATTTGTTCCCAGTTGTTCTATTTTATTCTTTTGTTTTTTTTTTTTTTCCAGAACATATCATTTTTATTTTTTCTCGAAATCTTCATAGATTTCCCCACCCTCCTCCTCTCTTTAGATATGTTTGTTTGTAGTCTACTTACTTGAACAACTTGTGTAAAAAGGCAGGCACACTACGTTGAGAAGTCAATTTATGAGGTGTGGTCAAAGTCGATGCAGACAGTTGGGGAACCGATTCACCAACAATAGTCATCTGTAACTTCATCTTTTTTGCATCAGATTCTTTCAAGTGATTGCTTCCTGGAGATACTGGTAATGGTGCTGAGAAAGAGGATGGGAGCGGTCTTTTTCTAGAAAGCGTATCATCAGGAGGAAGTTCAGGTGGAAGCATCTAATGGTGAATAATGATTGTGAGTTTTGCGAATAAAAAGGATAGGAAAGGGTAGGTTTATATTAAGGCATGTAATATGAAAAAAAAGAGAGAACCAAATTAAAATAGGTATCAATATAAAATAGATTATATGAATCAAAGAGTAAAATAATAATAAGGATTGACTGCTAAAAGATATTTTACCATTTCGCTGTTATAAAGGCCAAATTGCTATTTTTCCTTTGCTGTAAAAATGCAAGAATTATTGAAACAATGATTTTTTCAAAAAAAGAATTATATAGAAAAATAAAAATAAAAAAGAATCCATTAAATTCTGCTTTAATACTTGTGGTGTCTGTCCTTTGTGTCACAATTTATCGGGTAGCCTAACGGATCGATTTTCCATTAGTAAACTGTCGATTTTCGCAACTGTCACATTCCCCTTATTATTTAAAATGGCCCTGTATTAGCTGTACGACTATTTTTCTATCACGTTCTATGGCCTTCTATAAATAAGTCTTGCCTTTTTAGCTTAAAATAAAGATCAATAATCACTATATCACCCTTAATCTCATTCCTAATTGTCTTTTCGATCTATTCTCTAAACATACAGAAAGGCAAACTGGACTTGAAAAAAAAAAAAAAACAATAGTCATTTCTCAGTCAGAAATCACAAGTCAAATTTGGGGAGGGGATATGAGTTATAGTAGACCATGCTTTTTATATATTTAGCATCCTTATCTCTGTCCCAAAATACCGATTTGACTTGGAGGAACAATCAAAGAAGAGCGTAGTTCCAAGAACAAGGCTTGCAATCTATTCTAAAAGAATAAAATGGGGGAGGAGACGATCAAGACGATAGAATATTGAACTCAAATTTGCAAAGATGACGAAAATAATGACAGCCACTTGCATGTACATAAATACACAATTAACAATCTGGCGCTATTGATAGGCTCTCCTGAAATATTGGTTTTAGATCTTCTCATTATAGAGCACATTCCTAAACTGGCTTCACAGTGAACTGCTATTATAATGCATTCAGTTTCTCTTGGTGATCTTTTCAAAGCTTGCATCATCCTTACAACAATAACAACAACAACAACAACCAAACTCCTTGCGCTAAATGGTACAAGGATCGATCGTGCTGTCTTTCTTTTGGATAGATGACATAATCTAGAATTACGTCGTTTCATTAGTCCTCGTCTGTCTGCTTCCAAACTGAATTTTTCAAAGAGAACATGAATGGATTTTTAAGCGGCATACTGTAGTTCTCATGTGTGCTTAAAGTAGTTTTTCTCATAGTTAATCAATCAAAAAAACGCAAAGGGATATCGATCTGGCAGAGGCTATTCGAACGAATTTTTTATCTTTCTATAACATGCAAATGCGAAGATCATGCAGAGTCACACAAACACAATTGAATGACCCCCACTTCCCCCCCCCCCTGTTGTGTGGCTGACTACAATAATTAATATGTTTGGTGATGAAGTCAATTTACAGCTTTATGAGAAAAAAAACAGGGGGAAGGGGGCAGATTGTGTACGCTAAAAATATACCAAACTAGGTACGATGCTTTAGCTGCTTTACTTTTGTCTCAGAATGAAAATAACCCAGAGGTATAATTATAAAATTAGCTCGCCAGATCTCGATTCACACCGATCTCGATTAAAACTTGATATAAAAAAGGAGAGAAAAAGGCAACGAGACTCCTTTTTGGATAGACCATTACGTCATTTCGTCGAATTCAATAAACATGCTGCTTCTATACTTGTCTAAATTGAAATAATTGACTATAAATGTATAAGTTATGTACTTCTTTTTAGCTACAAATGAGTAATGTAATATTTATTGTTGGTGTACACAACTGCTTAGGCGATGCTCTATATAATATTCATTACTTGATACGAGACCTATCCAATTATCTTGTTCGTTCACGGCTGGTTATCAACAAGT